AAATAATTGAGTTGTGATACAGCACCATCTATCGAAAACTTACAGTATCTAAAGATCTAGATAATCTTCGTCATTCAATTTAAAAAGAAAAAAAATGAGATAAAACAATTATATTTTTCAAATATTATATATTTGAAATACATTTATTTTTATATATGAAATTACACGCACGTATGTACCGTTATATCAATTTTTATATATATATATATATTTGTATCAAATACAATGAAATATATATGAATTTATTTCGATGAAAAATCTAGAAAATGGCGGATGAATGGCAATGGAAGAATATTCTCATATTTATTCAAAGTAAGAAAAATAAAACACTAGTGAGGTTAGATAGCACATTGAAAAGGATAGGTACGTGTTCATGTGCATATATTTGATATGTACACTCGTACACGCATGCGTGTTTATACGTAACACGTACATGTATGTATGAGTATGCACGTCGCGATAACTTGGCGATAAAGTTCTTGCTCGTAAATATTAGGATAACGCTGTTCTAGTTTGGATATTGGCACATACGTTTTCATGTATGATAGATCGATCTCACTCGATTGATCGATTCATGTATTCCAGGTTGTATCGTATGAATATCAAGAGTGATGTGTGTGTGGGTGATCAAATTTTAAGTGTATCTTCTCTAAACTTAACAATTTTCTACTAAATCCAATAATTACAGTTTCATTAATCATTGAAATATTAATCAATCATATTATATTATAAATATTTATTTAACAAAAATAGATATTCATATAAATAATAAATAATGTAATAAATAATTCACTTCTCTTTCTTTTTATATTCATATATAATATAATTATAATATATATAATATATAATATAATTTTTATATATATATATATAATAAATATTTTATTTTTAACAATTTTCTACTAAATCCAATAATTAAAATTTCATCAATCATTGAAATATTAATCAATCACATATCATATTAAATTTTATTAAACTAAAATAAATATTCCTATAAATAAATAATCTAATTAATAATTTATTTTATTTTCTTTTTTTTTTTTTAAATTAAATACTTGTATATAAATAATAAATGATAAATTATTCGATAAATTAATATTGCAGCATTTCATGTATTAATAATAGATAAATTAAATAATTAATATTTTATTTATATTTATATTATATATAATATAATAATTATTAATTTATATTGTGACAATAAATATTTTTTTATGGAGTATAAAATTGAATAAATAAAGATAAAATTATAGTCCAGGATATATATAGATATATCATGGTATGTGTGTTTATATAAATGAACTATATATACGTGCAATTAAAGAGCGGAACGGATCATAATTAATAGGGATATCTAATAATCTCTTACAATTACGGAAAGAAATATATATATATATGTATATATATATGAGGATGAGAGAGAGACAATGGTGGGAAAATGACTATTACGATAGGAACTCTCTACAATGGCGTTTTGCCAGAATTAATTGGACGATATTATGCAGTACTTTCAAGTAGTAATATCCGAAAATTCTTTGACTATATAATTACTAAACTATCATTATCATAATTTGAAAATTAAACATCTGATACAACAAATACAAAATAACATTAATATTTGCATTAACGAAAAATACATTTGTTTTCATAATTATTTATACAAAATATTATTAAATATTAAACATAAACAACAACAAAATTAAATCATTCAAATGTTTTTGTTTTTTTTTTTTTATAAATATCATAAAAAACTTTTAGATGATTCTAAATAATTAACAAAGCTTTTAAGAAACTTTTTAATCTCACGATTAAGATTATAATTTAACGAATTCGTATTCTAGCAGTTTTATAATCTCCAAATAAAAATTAATCTACATAATACTTACAAAAAAAAAAATTTCTAATTAATATTTAAAATCAATTAATCATACAACCAAATATGTTGAAGATTAATCAACGAAATATTTATTTTTGGGTTCCATTTTGTTTAATTTAATTTTAATCTCACGATTAAGATTATAATTTAACAAACTAATATATTCTTGCGATTTTATAATCTCAAAATAAAAATTAATCTACATAATACTTACAAAAAAAAAAAAACAAAATCTAAATAAAATTCAAAATCAATTAATTGTATGAAACCAAATATATTTGACATTAATCAACGAAATATTTATATTTAGGTTCCATTTTTTTTTTTTTTTTTTTAATTTAATAGGATCGTATTGTAAATGAGATTTTCTTTAAAGTATAACAATTGAACAGATATTTTTTTTCTCGAATAGATTGGAAATAGAATAAACAGGACGTTTATTCAATGTGAAAATAATTGAAACATCTGATCTTTTCACAAAGAGAAATTCATTGATCCTTCACAGAGAAAAAAACAAACAATTACAAACAATGTTTTTTTTTTTTTTTTAAACTAGCTTACTTGTTTTAATAAAGTACTAACGATAATTGAAGAACCCTTTTAAGTCTACTACAACGTGAATATGTTAACACGTGAAGCTCAAAACTTTTCAACCCTCATTCCTAGAACGTTAGGTTCAATATACTTTTCAACCAATTCCATAAATATACTAATTAAAATTACTACGCTTATCAAAACACAAAGAGAGAAAAAAACACCGTAAATATAAATGAATTTTTTTTTGTTCAAAATCAATGATCCAACCCATATTAGAAACATTTTCTATCAATTTCGAGATATCATAATCGTTCGTTCATTCATCTATTTCTATTTCTACTTCTATCATTGAAATAAACAAAACCTCAATCCCCCAAAAAATAAAAGGAACTGTAAGAGAGAGAAAGAGAGAGTGCAGTGTTAAAATCGATGCTGAACTTTGACACTTAAAACGTTGAGAAACGTTTCAACGAATATACTTGTTCGATGTTAAAGTGGTGTGTGAAAAAAAAAATAAAATAAAAGGAAGAAAGAAAATAAAAGAAACAAAACAAAAAAGAAATAAAAGAAAAGAAGAAAAGAAAATAGTAATAAAAAAAAAAAAGAAAATAAAAAGGTTGAATGATATTCATTCAACGATCCGCGTTATAAGAAAAAAGGGTTCGAACGTTTTAGAAATGCAGCTGAACTTGTGCAATTTCGTTTGGGAAAGTTTCAAAGGGACGTCAAAAGGATCTCTTGGAACATTTCTTCTTACTTCTTCGAGAGTACACGAAAATGGCGAAGGGAGTGATGCCGGTGAAAAAGAAAGAGGAAAGAAGATAGAAAGAGAAAGAAAAAGTGCTGGATAAATTCGTGCTTGAAGAAACCAACGAGCTCCGATCGAAGGAAGAAACTCTTCCCCCTTTGTTCTTATTCTTATTATTCTTCCGTTGTTTCTAGAGAGAACTTTCAAAAAAAAGCTTCTACAAATAACAGTGAGTTATCTTTTTAAATATATATACATATACATATACATATA